CCAGGCTTTGCTGCAGAGCCAGACGGTGGTGGCGGCGGTGGCGGTGGAAGTCCGGCTGGTGCAGGCGGCCCAGGCTTTGCTGCAGAGCCAGACGGTGGTGGCGGCGGTGGCGGCGGTGGAAGTCCGGCCGGTGCAGGCGGCCCAGGCTTTGCTGCAGAGCCAGACGGTGGTGGCGGCGGTGATTGGGGCAAGGCAGACCCAGAAGAGACAAACTTTCTGTTGTCTGACTTTCTGCGCCCACTAGGCGGACTAAATGCACATGCAATCGCGGCAGCGCTGCGCGGCGATAGCTGGTCATCGTCCACTTCATCTTCTGGACTGTTCAGGGCATGCACGCTGCCGAGTCTTTTTCGCTTCTCCATCAGTGGCGCCCCTGCAACCTGCGGCATCATTTCGGGCATCTCTGCAGGTGTCGCCAGCGACCACGTCGCTGCCCCACCCCACTCCGGTGTGCTTTGCCGTTTCTCATGGAAGGTGGGCTCGACGCCTGGAAGTGCGTTCGCCGATGGGCAAGGCGTGGAGGCCGCGCGGCTGCGCGGAACGGTTGCCCCACTCCTCCCCACGCGTGCAAAAACAGGGTCCAAGGAGCTGGAGAACGGCGGGCTGGCAATGCTGACGACGGAGGACCGCCGCCTCGGGCATCGCAGCGCCATGCCTCTGCCCGCCTCCCCTTCTGGCGGCGCAATGGCCGCCTCGAGGCGCTCGCGGGAGGCCTTCTGTGCGGGCACCTGCTCAAGGTACAGGCGCGCCTGCGTCAGGTCTCCGTCGGTGAGCCGTAGCGCGTCCTCTATGTCCCGCATGGGGCGCTCTGGAAACTCGGTGTGGAGCGCCTCGGCGCGTGTGTCGTCCAGCGAGGTGCCCAGGAGGTTCATGTACATCTGCAGCTTCGTTACGTCCTGCTCCGACATACTTTCGGCAAGCTGCACCGCCCCCTTGGCAGGGGCGCCGCCCTCGCCCTCAAACATTTCCTGCAGCACAGACAACGCCCTCTGGGCGTCGCCGTGGCTGGCGTTGAGCACCTGAATCACGTCCCCCTCCCTGGCGGGGGGCAAGCTCAGCAGCTTCATGATCTCCCGCACCGCGTGCTTAGAGCCGTACTGCAACCGCGGCGAAAATTCACTGCCACAAAGGCTGCCGCTTCGGTTTCGCTGCCCCGACGGCGGCGGCGACTCGCCCTGCATCTCGCGATACTCAGCCTCGCTGCAAAGAATGGCCTGCATCAGTCCGCGTTCGCCCTGTGCGGCGAAAGCCACCTCTCGCACGTGCTCTGGGGACACGCCAAACATTTTGCTCAACCTCAAAATCTCTTTTGAATGTATCACTATGACTTCCATTCTGCCACTGCCGTCGACGGCAGCCTCAATAGACCGTAACCGCGGGAGCGAGCCACCGCTACCGGTACCACTCCGGCGAGAACTGCGCAAGGCTCTCTCTTGGAGTTGCTGCAACGCGCCCTTTGTTGAGAAACGGCGTCTGCGCTTCGGCGTCGTTGAGAAAATACGCGGCAGCGCACCTGCATCCTCCCCCATTCCACGCAAAGTCAAGCAGTTTTCCTGTATATTCTGCTGGCACGGCTGCTTTTCTGCCTGCTCGTGCTGCTGCGGGGCGCCGGTGTTGGCAGCCATAGCGAGGGCAACGGAACCCCTCTGCGGAGCGGGGTGTTGGGCGCAGGCCTCAATAACAACTATGGCTTTAGCCACGACCCGCAAACACTCTACAAATATATATATATATATATATATATATCTGTACGTCGACTGGGAAGGCTGCGATGTGGCGGCAGAAGACGAGAGGCGGGGAAGGAAGGCGGCAAGGGCAAAAGGTTGAGAGAGAGAGAGAGAGAGTTGTGTGTGTGTGTGTGTGTGTGTTCATGTCTCTCCGCAGATGAGCAGCTGCGGCCTCCTCGCTTCTCGCCCCTCCCAGGGGGCAACGGAGAAAAAACAAACGTAACACACACAGAACAAGAACAAAGAAAAAAAAAAATGTGGGTGAGGTGGGTGGGTAG